GTCTGATACGATGCTGGTCATTCCCAACGTGCAAATTCACAATGAAAGACAATGCCTTCTTGTCTTCTTCTGCTCGGCCTCTAGTACCCGACACTCCTCCCACTACTTGGGTGGTACTGGCCTACCTGCTACTTGATTGTTTTTCCCCGCTGCTCCAGGTGTCGCGGGCCTACCCCCGCTACTTGAGTGTTTTCCCCGCTGCAACCCTCAAAGTCACGGCCACAAGTACCGACTCTGCGGGGCCTTTCAACCAACAAGAACCCTGGCGGGTCACACACACACTCAGCCGACAAGCACTCAGACAGGCATGCAAACCAGCAGGCACGCACACACACACAGACTTGGAAACCAGAGCACAATGCAGGAATCTCAGCAAGGCATTCATTCCAACGGCAAATCCCAGAAATCAGCAGTGTTCTCAATCTGTGTTTTTGGCGGGTCATTACACTACCCCCCTCTCAAGAGCGAGGTCCCTTCGAGCGAGTAACTCATTCAGAGTCGGCACAAAATGCATCGTAGGCGTAGATCAGAAAGAGAGATTTAGTAAGACCGTGAGGAGTGAGTTTTGCAGAAAACTTACCAGTCTGTCCATCAGCGATCTGCCGTTTATAAGCGTTAACAACACGTGGAGCATTCTTTAGCAGCTCTTTTCAGTCGATCCAGAAAAATTCGTTCAACGGGTGATAGAGGAAGTGAACCTTGTACTGTATGTCCCTCCCTCTTCCTTCATGGGAAACGATTTTGTTTATCTCATGGTCGCCGTCCATAGGACGAGATATCATAGGATCTCGGAAGGGAAAAGTCTTGTCATCGATGTGTGGAAACAATTTGGACACGTGAAAGACCGGATATGTGCGCAGATGAGGAGGCACGTCAATCACATACAAAGGACCAAAATCATCCCCAATCACCTTTAGAACATGCCAAGGGCCATAGTACAAATGGAAGAAGCTTACGTGATACACCCTCTTCGTCAGAAAATTCAGACATTTTGACCCAGACATAACTCCCTACTTTGAAGTTCCCTTCTTTGCACGACTTGTTAGCATGTTTGATCATGGCATGCTGACGCTTGTTCATTGTTGCGATAACAACTTTGAGCAGGCGTGCGTACTTGGCATTGTAGCCATGCATGTCGAGCGTCAGACCAGGGGACAGTTCGGGGAACAAATAGGGGAAAGGATTGCGCAACTGCCAACCATATTGCAACTGATTCGGTGTCACACCAGCTGCAGAGTTGTTGTACAACCCTTTCACTTTGTGTTACTCCTTGTCCTACGTGTTCTGATCTGGAACAATTGATGCGCGAAGTATTTGAATGACAGTCTGGTTGATTTCCTCTGCCAATCCATTGGTTTCGGGGCGTCGACCATAAGTCTTGTTGAGTTTAATGTCATAGATCTGCAAAGTGAAGTTTTTCCAATCCGCACTAATGAACCTGGTGTCCCAATCACTCACAAGAGTTTTCGAGGGTCCATACTGCAGAATGTACTGTTGGTGAAATTATTCGATCACAAGCTCAATTGGTGCATGAGGAGGTAGAGGAATCAGAATCAGAAATTTGGAAAAACGATCCACAATGACCATGACTTGTGAATGTCCTCCCTCGCTCACCTTCCCCATGTCCGTGAAATCGATAGAGACCAACTCACCGGGCCCATCAGGGATTGGGAGGGGTTTCAGCAGGCCATGAGGCTTATGCCTAAAGACCTTGGTTCTTTGACAAATTTGACATTCAGCAATAAATTTCTGAGCAGATCCCTTCATTCCCAGCCAATCAAACTGTTGCCAAAAACTTCCATAAGTCTTCTCAAAGCCAAAGTATCCACTCCGACCATGTGCCAAATCCAAGAAATGAGTCCGGAGAGGCGCATGGTTGGGTACACACAAAGGATCAAACTTCCCATACCGGCGGAATACAAGACCCTCACACTCGTGAAAATCAGGCTAACTGTTGGGGTCAGCCTTGAGCTGCTCAAGGATGGGATTAAGGTTCGGATCCTTGGCAGTGTGCTCGACCAGATCCTCCTTCAGTTTCCTTCGGAGGTCATACGAGCTCACAAGGCAAGTCAAAAACTCAGGATGACGCGACAACGCATCAGCAACACGATTATAACAGCCTTTCTTATGCTGCAGTTCCAAGTTGTAAACATCAATGTCATGCAGCCAGCGGGTCAATGTCAGAGAGAGATCAGTTTGCGTTTTAATCCACTGCAAGGTCTGATGATCTGAGTAGACCTTGAAGTGACGACCCAAGAGGTAGTGCTTCTAATGTGTGAGCACTTCTCGCAAAGCATAGAGATCACGCATATATGTGGAGGTAGCTACCTTGCGGCTGGGCATGCGTTTGCTGTAATATTCGGGCAGACGCAGACCATCGTCATCATCTTGTTGCAACACTGCACCAATCCCATACTGGCGGACCACGAACGTGAGGTTGGGATCCGCAATGCGGAACACAGGATGACTTACCAAAGCCTCTTTCAAGGTGTGGAACGCAGTCTCATATTTCTCACACCAAGCATAGGCAATATTCTTGCTTGTTAGTCTCGAGATTGGGTGAGCAATGACAGAAAATTTGGGCACGAACTTCTGATAATAGGAGGCTAAACCAAAAAAAGAACGCAGTTCGCGTATGTTTGCCGGTTGAGGCCACTTTCATATAACCTCAACCTTGGTTGCCTCCGGCTCAAGGCCGTTTGCAAACAACCGGTGCCCAAAATAGATGTCGTTGTCCCTTCCAAACTCAAATTTCTGTAAGTTGAGGTGCAATTATGCCTCCTTGAGGACCTGCAAAACCTCCTCAAGGTGCTTGACGTGCTCTTTCATGGACTTGCTGAAAATCAAGATGTCATCGAGGTAAACAACAACAAACCTGTTAAGCTGATGGCGGAGGACCTCGTCCATGAGGCACTGAAACGTTGCCGGTGCATTCGTTAGACCGAAGGGCATAACGATGAATTCGTACAACGCATTGCGTGTTTTGAATGCAGTTTTGTGCTGGTCACTCAGATCAACTTCAATCTGGTGGTAGCCAGACTTAAGGTCGATCTTGGAAAAAAACTTGTACCCACCTGCAGCATCTAGCATACTATCTATGCGCGGCAAGGGATAAGCGTTCTTTCGGGTGATACGGTTTAGGCCACGATAGTCAATACACATCCGGAGTTTGCCTCCTTTCTTCGGCACAAACAGGACAGGTGCACCGAACTCAGACTCACTAGGCCTAATCCATCCACGATCAATCATGCCATCAATTTGCCTCCTCAACTCCTCCAACTCGCCTTGTCCCATACGGTAGACGCAGCCCATTGGAGAAACACTCCCTTTTATTATCTCGATTTTGTGTTTGATTGGACGCTCGGGAACTCCACGAGGTTCAGCCAAAACTTCAGGAAATCGATCTAATAGACGGCGAATGTTTGTTGGGACTTCCGGTGGAGGATCATCCTCATCAGGAGAGAGAAAATCAGAACGAGAATTTACAACAATTACAACCGGATTTGAAGTACTTGGATCAGAAGTAGACCTATCTTTTACAGTAGAAGTAGATGGAACAGAAGTAGAGGTAGTAGAAGTAGAATTAGTTTCAGGGGTAGAAAATGCAGCAAAAGTAGAAGGCACATGGAGAGGTTTTACAAGAGCTACATGCACATACTCATCTTCCTTCGCCTGCGCACTGATTTACAAAATTTGTTTGCACTCAAAAGAGTCACAGGGGACTCGCGGGTCTCATCCAATAGAACGGTACGCTCGTTCCCCTTGGCATCACGCACCACGAACTGATTATCCGCCCACGTGGTCCTTCGACAATGAGCCTTTAACCAGCCCAAGTCAATGACTGCGTCAAAAGGACACTTGTCCATGACATAAAAGTTCAGCTCATGTGTGACAGTGCGATCTTTATCAAAAGTGGCGCGCACGCATTTAACAACACGTGTTGAGGTGACAACCTCTTGGTTGCCTACCTCGGTCTGACAAGGGTTCTGCAATTCCACTTGCTTCATTCCCAGGCCCGCCTTACGAATCCCGTTAGGAGAAAATAAGTTAGTCGTTGAGCCATTATCAATCAGCACACGGATGTATCGGCGGTTAATGAGCAGCTTAAAGAAGATCAATTCCACACTCCCTTGAACACGGCGTTGTTGCTTGAGCTGCAGCCAATGTTCCAAGTGAGAGTGGAAGTCAACTTCCTTAGTCTCCTCCCAAGGCTCAGTGTACAGTACTTGAACTGCAGCAGCCTTGGATTCAACATCGGTCCGGGCTTCAAGAGCAGGTTGTTGATCAAATCCAGGCTCCTTGGAGGGGCCTGCGACTGACGGTTGTTGTAAAGAGTGCTGATGACTCTTCTACGCCCTTTGCCTGTTTCCCTGCAAACGATAACAGTCCTGCATAGCGTGCCCAGGCTTTTGACAATGCAAGCACACGAGCAATTTAAATCTTCTCTCCCATTCCTTTTGACTGATGCGGAGCGTTTCCCAAGGTTTGGTGGAAGCATCCTCCGGTTTCTCAGGGATCTTTGCATTCTTGGGGAGGTGTGTTATAGTTCCCTTACCCGAACCACGGTTAGGCCCCTTGCTTGAAGCAGTCTTTTTAAAGGCATTACATTTTCTTCGGTATTCATGTCAGACTCAAGGGCTGATGGTGAACAACCCACGTCGGAGTCCGACTCTAGATCATCATCTAGATACAGATCATCCGCATATGACTGGTCCTCAGCCTACCGATGTTCATGCAGGGCAAGCTGATTGCTGCTTTCGTACCGCTTGCGTTGCGAGGTTCTACCTGCAGCGGGTTCCTTTGCACGCGTGTCGAGGTCCTTGGCTTCTAGATTCACTAGATCCATCAGTAGCTCTCGCCAAGTCGTATGGTCTTCGAGTCCTAGCCTGGAGACATATTCTTTAGGGGCCACTCCAGGTTTGGAGTGGCCCCTAAAGCTTGAGGGCCTTGGAGTTCTAACTACATCAATGCAAGACACGTCAGTCCATCCCAGGTTTGGAGTGGCCCCTAAAGCTTGAGGGCCTTGGAGTTCTAACTACATCAATGCAAGATACCTCAGTCCATCCCAGGTTTGGAGTGGTGAACAGACCAGTCAAGTGCTGCTCCAAAGCCTGCATGGAAGTCCTCAACGTTTGGCCCTTGAGGGCCTCAAGCTTCACCCTTGCCTTGAGCGCAGCGTGCTTATCTTGATATTGCGCGATGAGGAGGTCCTCAAGAGTACGTACAGGAGTTACTTTCAGCCACTCAGTCAGATCAATTATCTCATAACCTGCAGTAACAGCTTGGAACTCTATGAAACTCCGTACGGCGGGCTCAGTATTTGAGCCCATGATCATGCTTCGGTCTTCCCGCGGTGTTTGCAGTACCTCGAAGAATGAGCGCATGGAGCTAATCCAAGAGGTGATGTCATCTTTCCCGTCGTACTTTGACGGCAGAGTGGCCGCCCTCTTGTCCACTACGAGAGAGCTGTATTGTATGCCAGTAAGAACTGGGGCGTTTCGGGCTGATGTTTCTGCATTTGGAACTAGGACCAGTGCAAAACTGTCGACGCTGCCGCTTGAGGAGCTGGCAACGGTTCCTGCGCTCGTCACAGTTCCACTTCCTCTTGACAACAGGACTGTGTTAGGGTGAGAGATTGGGACTGCAGCAGGACGAGGATTAAGAGGACGGTGGGCAGACAGTTGGGACTGTTTGAGGCTGACTATCTCGGCCTGCAACTCTTGGTTCCTCTGCTCCAGAGCTGTCACACGAGACTCTATATTTTCCAAGGTCCGCAGTCGAACCAAGGCTGCTATGGCAGCAGCTAGCTTCTGGAACCGGTCACCATTCGATTCCGGAACCTCGAGGAGGGTCATTTGTTCAACAATACTTGTGGCTTTGGCTGTTGCCACTACCTCCCTCTCTCTGTGTATTGCGTCCTCGTAAAGTTTCTGAAAGAAAGGTTTCTCGTCCTCAGCCGCTGAGTCCAGCATGACCTTCCATTGCTCGGATGTGATGTCTGCCATGCTGGAGGATAGGGTGTCAGTAGATCTTTCAAGAGGGGTCCGCACTTTGCTCACTTTTGGACGAACAATCCTCTTACCCCTCCTCACACTCTTAAAAAGTACACCTTCTCTCTCCCTTCTCTCTCTTTCCGCTTTCTGCGCACGTGTCTCAATACCGAACATAGATAGTTCAGATAAAAGAAAAAAAGTAAATCACCAAGAGTAGAAGGTAGAACTCCTAGCCGGAGCGGCAATTCATTTGGACTAAGAGAATGGCATTCACGCAGCAGAATAAAGATAAATAATTTAATAAATAAATAAAAAATGAAAGAGAGGACTGACTTATCGAACGGGCCCAATCAGATTACTTGGAGATCCCCTCTTGTCTAACCTAACAAGGTACATGTACCACAATAAGTCAGCCGAAGAAAACTAACTGCAGCAATGGAGATTTCGAGGGGTGCAGACGGTCGCTAAGCCAGACGCGGGGCAGTATGTGAGAACATGCAGTAAGACCAATCAAGATCCCCTTGAAAGGAATGCCCTTACTATCCTTATGTCCCCCAAATTCAGCACAGCAAAGAGATGCATAGACGACAACAGATTTGGGCCCTAAAGGTCTTGTCCCGTTGGGCCTGGTCCCACTGAGTCCCGATGGTCCCAAGTAGGTCGTGGACCAAGACCAACGAGATAGGTGTGCCAAGTCAGTCCCAAACTGCCTCTACCGTACTGAAAAGGAAAGACAACTTTCAACAAGAACTTACCCCTACAGCTGTTCAGAAATGAAAGGACAATGCACCGTAGAAGATATGTCATTGAGAACAAGATACATCATCCATCCATCCCGCAGGTGAAAAAGCAATCCACAAGCTCACACACAACCAAAACCGCAAAGAAGAGGAAGAGAGCCCATCACACCCCAACAGGCCATGAAGCACCAAGCAACCTCCCACGCGCATAACCAGGTCACACGACACTTACCTGTGAGGCCCGCCCTCCAAAGATGGATAACGACCCACCCCCCTCTCTCATATGTACTCCTGACCCCTAGCTACTACTACACGAAGTGTCCAAGCATGACTAAGAGGGCCTCCCTACACCCCTGATACAACGCCGGATCCCCCGTCGATGTCTGATGACCAAAGTAGCAACTTGCAGCTCTTCGATGCAGATATGGCAGCCTCCGATCAAGTCTCCCTCTTGAGAGGAAGCCCAAAAGTCACTCAATGTCTTCTTGAAATGCAGATTCCAGGTGTGAGTACCTCTCACTCTCTACTCCTTCTCGCTTACTCCAATCAGCCTCCTTTGTGTCTCTCGCCACCCCATCCAATCACACAAACCACCTGGTCAGGTCTGATGTCGACCCTACATGACCTAACCAGGTGGGGGCAGTAACCACATACCTCACTGCCGCTCTTAACCCTAACTTCCCAACCCTAATTAGGTTAGCCCTAACGAAATTCGAAATTAGGTTTAGGGTGACTAACACCCCTCGCCAACAAGTAAGTCCGCTCCGATACCAATTGTTACGATCATGGTCATTCCCAACGTGCAAATTCACAATGAAAGACAATGCCACCCGTTTGCGAAAGAAATGAAAGCACTTGCAAAGAGATAGAGACCAGAGGAGAGGGAAAGAAGAAAAAGAAGAAGAAGAAGAAGATGTACACCAGCAAGACCAATGACAAATCCCCCCTTCTCTCTCCACCTTCCTCCTCCTCCTTCACTTCACCAATCTTATTCTTCTTCCAATAATAATAATAACAATGAGTGGATGAACCAGAATCAATATCCGAAGTTCCCTCTTACTGCTGACTCAACAACAACAACAACAAAAATAACAACAACAAGTCCACCATAGCTATGGCTTCCCTCCTTCTTCCTCCTCTCACATGCCTAGGCTATGGCGGACTACTGAGGGCCCTGCCCTCCTGTCCAAAGGACAACCCAAAAAGCAGCTATGGCGCTGCACTCCTGTCCAAAGGACAACCCAAAGTAGCTATGCCGCTGCTGACTAAGCCGCCATGCCTGACTCTGCCTCGAGCTTCCTTGGTAGGGCATTACCCCAATTGGGGCCTTCCAGATGCAGCGCCCAACACAGTGATGAAAATGGTGTCCACCATAGCCAGGTAGGTGCCTCGCCACTCTCCTCCTTTGCCCCCTTCTTCCTCCTCTCAGGCTGGGCTGCTCGCCATAGCCAGGTTGAGCGCCCAACTGCCCTTCACCTCCAGGCAGCGCTGTACCAGTCCAGTGCTTCGCTTAGCAGTACGTCGCCAATCCTTGCATACCGCAAATGAGGAGAAGCTACTTGCTCCTTCGTAAGATATAGCGGCCTACTGGCCTCTTGGGCGGTGACTTCCTAGGCCGAGCGGCCTCCCAGCAACCGGTACCTCGTCCCTTTCGGAGGGAAACATCATTGCAGGCTCTGCTATCGTCCGAACAGGCCCTAGACCCGTGCTACTTGGACTGGTACCGGCCTACCTCTATCCTACCGCTATTGGGCCTCCAAAAATGCCAACTTTTTGTCTTCTTTTGCTCGGCCTCCAGTACCCGACACTCCTACCACTACTTGAGTGGTACCGGCCTACCTGCTACTTGAGTGTTTTTCCCCGCTGCTCTAAGTGTCGCGGGCCTACCCCCGCTACTTGAGTGTTTTCCCCGCTGCAACCCTCAAAGTCACAGCCACAGATAAGTACCAGCCCTGCTGGGCCTTCCAACCAACACGGGTCACACACACACTCAGCCGACAAGCACTCAGACAGGCATGCAAACCAAGAGGCACGCACACACACACAGACTTGGAAACCACAGCAGAATGCGGGAATCTCAGCAAGGCATTTATTCCAGCGGCAAATCCCAGAAATCAGCGATGTTCTCAGTCTGTGTTTTTGGCGGGTCATTACATCTCTCTCTCTCTCTCTCTCTCTCTCTCTCTCTCTCTCTCTC